CGCCCCGGCCTTCACCGGCCCCCCTGCAGTGGCTGCTGTGCGACCTGGGACCCGTGGGCTGCCTCGCTGAGCCTCGGCCGCGAGGATGGGGATCCCGCAGAACGCTGCGCTCCCCCGAGGGCTGGCGGGAGCGCTGGAAGAAAAGGATCCCGCGTGGGAAGGCAGGAGGACCTGCCTGGCTCATTTGAGGGTCTGAGTTGATGGGCGGCATTTGTGTGATCACTAGCAGCTTTCCCCTAAGGGTACCTTTCACGTGGCTCTTCCAGGACCCATCACCCCCCCCAAGCCAGTGAACACAGTGGGCCAGAGGTCACCCAAGTCCGGGGCTTTGGCATCTTCAGGACACCTCAGACCAAGCCTGGTCCTCTCTGGGCCTCCGTGTCCCCTGCGCACCTGAGGGTTGTAGGCTTCTGCCCCTGTCACGGGATCCGCAGAGGAAAAGCTGGGCAGGCCTGCAGTGGGGCTGCTCCCCCACCAGCTGGGCGGCCCCAGCTCTCTGACACTCCTAGAATGGAGACCCCTCCCCACCTCTAGTGCAGCTGGTGTGAGAAGTGGTGTGCCCAGCGCTGGCCTGGCCTGTCTCTACTGCCTTCCCCCCGCCCCCTCCAACGTTCTCTGCGATTTACTTTTTATTCACGTCCCCACCGCGAAGCACATGAGCTCCAGGAGGGCAGGGTCTGGGCCATCTGGTTCACCGCTGCATCCCCCACACTAGCAGGGGCCCCGGCACATACTGGGAGCTCAAAAATCAATTTATTTCAATGAATGTGTTTGCCATTCACCTGTGCTCACCTGGCCCCAGGTGTTGGGGGGGGGTGGGCAAGGTGAATATCGATTAAGCCCTGACCCCGGGGCGGGCATGGCCCCACGCGCTTTATGTGAGTTGTTTCATTTCACCCCACGAAGTAGGTGTGTTAGTGCCTTCACTACCTAGATGGGAAACTGAGGCCATTCTAGACTCCCCAGAGAGGGCAGGCCACTTGCTAATAATGATGGCAGGCTGGAAGTCTGCCCCTGTGTCTGGCACCCCGTCCCAGGCCTGCTATCAGGAAATAAGAACCAAACGGACCTGAAACTGGAACAGTTCCCCCAAGGAAAAAGGGAACTGAAACCAGGACAAATGGAGCCAATAGGGAGAGGGCTGGGATTGGGCCAAGAGGAAAAGACCCTGGGGAGCCAGCCATGATTTGGGGTGTCAGGGGGACTGGGACTTGTCCTTCAGGGTCTGGTGAAGAGGTCCGCTCAGCATCAGGTTGTGCTGAATCAGAAGATGCTCCCTCAGAGGGAGACGGCACAGCTTGGAGGTGAAGCACGCTGGCTCTGGGTTGGGCAGGTCCCAGTTCTGCCAGTTAATGAGATGTGGGACACTGGAAGCTCTATCCGAGCCTTAGCTTCCCAGCTATGAGATGGAGATAATGACCACGCAGGGTTCGTGCACTCGTTCGTCATTCTCCAACCATCACGGGAGTGCCTCTGTGTGTCGGGCGCGGTGCAGGCACCAGGTCGTGCTCACACGAGCTCTCCCCTGCCGTTGTGCTCTGGGTTCAGTAAACGTGGCTGGGATGGTGCTTATAAAGTAAGGCACCTGGTTAGAGGGCTAGTCACCTCCCAGAAGTGCTGCCACAGGCCAGGGAACAGACCGGTTCTGAGGAGCTTCCAAAGGGCAGAGTTAGGGCCAGCAAGGCTAGGAGCGGGGTATGAGAAGCCAGTTGGTGTAAGCTGGGGCGGGGGGGCGGGGGACTCACGAACAGCTGGAGCTAGCCACACATGGCTACTCGGAGAGGTAGTGGATACTGTCTTGGGAGGTATGCAAGGCTCTGAAAACTAGCTATCCGGGGGGCCGCTAGGACATCATGCACACGGTGGGCAGTGAGCATGGCTCATCTTTAGAGATTCCTGCCAGTTCTGAGACTTCTAGAAGTTGCAGCCCCTCTTCCAGGACCTGGTGGGATGGGGGGAGGGAGGCAGAGGATCTTCAGGCTGGGCTGGCCAGGAGCGCCACCTGCTGCGCATGGGAGGCACTGGTTGCCGGCAGAAGTGAGCCAGGGTCCGGACCCCTGAGGGTCTCATCCTGCTCCTCACCCACCTGCTGGTGCTCTTCTGGGGGTTAACAGATGTTCCCCTTCATCGGCCCTCCCCTCCACGTCCCCCGTGCCTACCTGGGCCTTCCAGCTCCGCCCCAGCGCCTCGGGGTCTCCCTTCACCCACCGTGGTGACCCACACAGGCATCTGGCCCTCCAGGCCCCTCTGAGGAGCCTCGCTGACTTCCCTGGGCAGGGCTGGACGAGCCCCGTCTTTGCGCTCCCCACCTTGTTTTACTGGCTCCCCCGGAAGTGGGAGCACCTTGGTATCCCCAGTGGACAATAATCGCAGAGTTCCAGCAGAGCTGAGTGTGGGCCCTGCGCTGCTCTGAGAAGTGCGCATGACATTATCCTCACAGAGAAGCTAGGAGACCTGCCCAAGGTCACACAGCTGGTGAATGAGAGCTGAGATCCTGACCCGGGCTCTTAACGATCGCACTGTAAGGCCAAGTCCGGAGGTAGGTCAGGAAGCTTTGGGCGAATGAAAGAGTCAGTAAGGGGATTCCCACTGTCGCGTGAACACAACCAACTCGCGGACATACTGGGATGAACCTGGATCCAGATCCTCCCTGGCAGGCACGCCTGACCTCCATACCTCACCACCGCATCCAATCAGACGGTTTCTCTGCCCTCTCAGCCTGGCCCCTGGGCTCCAACAAGACAGCCCAGGGGATGTGGGAGCCTCGGCCAACACCTTTGAGCTCGGTGCCTGAGTCACCCTGTTGACAGTTGCATCTCCAGGCCTGGCCTACAGTAGGTGCTCAATAATTGTTGCCTGACGCTACCCGTCCCCCAGAGGTTTGGCTCCACAGACTGGCTCTTTGTCACCCATCATTGCCATGTAAGATGAGAACCAGGATCCACGGAGGGCTTCCTGCTCACCAGGCACTGTTCTGAGCACCTGCTGGCAACGGTCTCCTTGGCTTGTCCCCACAGCCCTGTGATGTGGGGACAACAAACACACTTGCCACCATGAGGACCAAAGAGTGAACGCTTGGGAGCCCTTCCAACAAAGCCTGGCCCCCGGGGAGTATGATGCATGCATTTGATGTTCACGTTTTATACTCGGGGAGACGGGCTCTGAGAAGCTGGTGACAGGCCCCATGTGGCCGAAGCGGGCCTCCCGACAGCTCCTCACGGTGCCATCCCCCATGGGCACAGGGGCACTGCCGCTGTGGGCCCCATGTCCTGCCAGGCCCAGGTCACAGGGCTAGGAGATGGCTGGGGGGACGGGCCCAGGGGTGCGTCTTCCCAGCAAGGGGAGGGAAGAGTAACAGAGCTGCAGGGATGTGGGGAAGGGGAGGGAGCGCGCGGGAGGGGCAGGAGGGGGAGGGCACTGCCATTCTAGAAGCCGTCCCACTAGCACACCCCCGTTCTTGGGAACAAATTGCACATTTGGAGTCATTTTCCTGGAAGAAAAAAAAAGCCTCTCTAAAAATATTTTTTCTTTCTCACCTCATCCTGGGGCTAGAGCAGTCCGGCTGGGTGACAGCCAAGGAAGGGGGTGCAGGGGAATGACCCGGAGCGGGACGAGGGCACGAGCAGGAGGACTGAGTGGGGCGAGGAGACCCCCCACCCCCCGAGACCGTGGGATCTGAGCAAGCACCACTGTCGTTGACGTATTTGGTGGGTCTTGTGTTTCTCTGAGAGCTTTGAGGTTCATAGGGACTCCTTCCAAACCTCAGCCTCCGGTTCTGGAGCCCCTGCTCCCAGGCCAGGCGGGCACAGACTGGGAGCCAAGGGAGCTGGCGTCCCAAGGTGGGCGTGGGCAACGGACAAGCAACCACATTCGCGTGGGACAGGTCCCTGCTCTGTCCCTCACCGCCTGCGTGGCCCCTCGCCCTGGGCCTCAGTCTCCTCCCCCATACATGGATCAGGTCCGGGGTGGGGGGGGGGGGGGGGGGGGGGGGGGAGGGGCGCAAATTTCATTCCCAGCACCCTGCAGGTGGCCCCAGCACGGCGCCTGGCAGAGGGCAGGAGCAGGGAGGGACTTAGCAGCCCGGGCTCTGAGGGGAGCCCTGGGGACTCTGGGGTCAAATCCCGGGTCTGCCACCCCCTGCCCGGGGACCTTGGGCCACGTTCCTGCCATGGAAGTTAGAGTGAGTGACTGTCCCACTCCAGGGTTTGAGGGAGGTGAACAGGGTAATGCAGGGCAGCACCCCACTCAGGGCCAGACCCACGGTCACCACCCGATTGGCGGCTGTTTTCCCGCCATTCCCTGCGTGGGGCACTCCAGGCCTGAGGTCGGTGGGTCGGGGGAGGGGGGCCCTCCGCTGGGATTGAGAGGCCGGGGCTGAGCCACCTCTGGAACGGGACAGCTGTGGCCTCCTGAGAACCCCTGGTCCAGCCCCACCGCAAAACGCATCTGCACCCTGGCCGCCGCAAAGCGCCGGGAAGCTTCCCGGAGTCCTGGGGAGGGTGTGCAGGGGCCAGAGCCGGC